AGCTATCCTGACTGAGGTTTTTCTCAGACTCTCCGTACATGCTATGATTTCACCTTAAATTAATCTGTTGCTGCATTCTTATATTTCCTCCCCAATAATTTAAATTGTGAATTATTCATTATTTGTTGACCATCATGTTGTTCAACACTGTGTAGTCTGAGCTACTGAAAGTGTTGTTAAATAAACTACAGATAAGTTAATGAAATAAAACAGGGTTCACACAGATTAGGTTCACAGTACAAAGACCTTTTCCATCGCACATTATTTGTATTATATGAGTGTTACATATCTCACATAAGTAGAAGACGTGTACTTCCGGAGTGTAGCTTGGATTTAATTAATGTTGCAGATCAGTTGTTGAGGCAACTGATGTCCAGTTGAACATGCGAGTGGGGATTCACTCGGGACGTGTTCTGTGTGGTGTTCTTGGGTTACGGAAGTGGCAGTATGATGTCTGGTCGAATGATGTCACTCTTGCCAATAATATGGAAGCAGGGGGAGAGGCAGGGTAAGTGTGACAGGGTTAAACTGAAAACACAGTATTTTTACAAATAGAGTCTTCAAAAACATGCTCCATTTTTAATTACATATAAATACCAAACTACTAAGGAAACTTCACTTCTTTATGTATCTTGAGTTCAGTAGACATGGGAAAATGTGCTGCTCCTGGTGGCCGTGTCACAAAAAACATTTTCAGAACTGCAATGAGAAATTTTGGCAGCACTGATCAGCTCCAGCAAAGAAAACAGCTCTATTTATGCAGAATTTTTGTCAGCTGCAGATGGCCTTGTTTGCTGATGGTGCACATAATGAAAAATGTTTTTGTGTGATTTTCAGTCTCCCACGATTACTGACCTCGGAGGATTGCTATGTATTATATGCAATTATATGTGGAGCATTTTTTTAGAAAGACTGTGTGTGTGTGTGTGTGTTTATGTATGTATACAAAAGGATGATTTCTTTAGATACATTTAGTGATTGTAATTGTAATTTTTATTTATTAAATTAATTTTTGGGAAGAGATTTGACTTTACACATATTCTTAGGTTTCCATGATTTATAGTTCTTTATGTGCCAGAGCAAAACTTGTGATATTTGAAATCAGTTAAGGTAATGTAATATGTTGTTATTATAGAATATATTTTTCAGGAGCAACTTCATTGTAGATGTTTATCATGAATTTAATATAGGTTTTTGTAACATTGATTAATTGTGGTATGAAACTATAAATTATGAAAGTTGTAGAATTTTCGAAAGGAAGGAACAATTTAATGCTTTTTCAATATCAGAGAAATTTATGAAGACTGCAGCAAAGTGACTTCTTCTCAAGATTTTACTTATTGTGACTTTGGTACGTATATAACCAGTTTGTTATTTAATATTATTTAAGGATAGTATCAATTCTTTATTTTCTTATTTCTTTCTTCTGTTAGTTTTATCTGACGTGTCAACAATCAGTCATTTAGGTATGACTATCCTTGGTCTCAGTGATGTAAGTCTAGTGTTTTATACAAGTGAACACGCCAGCAAAGTTTCTCTCTTTACATTTGTATGCATGTATCAAGTTCATTCTAAGTATACCAATTTTTTATGTTTAATTTTTTTTGTTAAAACATAAGTACAAGATAATGAACCAACAGGAAAAATACATAACCTGAAGACAGTAATTCTAGGCATTATTCAGTAATGAGTAATTTTAAAAATGTTTCATATTCAAGGTACAAAACTTAATGAGCTAAGGATAAAGCAGTGAACTCTATATGATTGACACTCGTGTTGTCACTGTTTCGTCATGTTTAATTGGTAAGAATGTAGTAACTGGAATACTGTGATGTAATTTAAATATGAGTTTTAAGGTTTTTATGTCTGTCTAGGTTGTGATGTCATGTAGAATTGTAAGTAGACATCAGCAATTTGGTGAAACGTTAATATCTACCTAAAGTGCATACAGCATTATAAGCCACAAGACCAGTGCTGACGAACTGTTTTTGGAAAATGTTATAAGTTACTATCAGGAAGCCTTCATAATGGTAAATTGTGGTTAAAGCATAATTTATGATTTTATGAAAGGAAAAAAAAGACTCTGAAAACATAAATGTATGATTTTTGTGTTCCCCTGTGCCATGAGGAATATTAACATGACGTATCAGTCCAATCTGTTAAGCCTAGTGATAGAGATTGTGAAGGGTTACCAGACTTTGTTAATGTTTTGTTGGTTGATTGTTCTAATATTGATAATTTATTTATATTTTTTCAGGCATTGCACATAGTTTGTTTCTGTTCTTCAGATAATTTATGTTGCTATTGCTGCTTTTCAGAAAATTATCCCTTTGACTGTTTTCAATTTATTTGGAATATCAATCTATTCCTCTGCAGTAATATCTTGTGCGCTTGTGAGACAGTATTTGTGGAAGTGTATTATGAGGTAAATCCAATGTTACCAGGCGTGTTCACATCACACAAGCCACGCTAGACTACTTGGGTGGAGAGTACGAGGTTGAGGCAGGCCATGGTGGAACTAGAAACCAGTATTTACGGGACCATAGTGTTGCTACGTATTTCATTGTGCCCCCAGCTCGACGGAGGAAGGTAACGGATGTTATATATTTTCTGTATACAAATAGTAAATATTTGACACATGGTCCTTCAGACTGATTACAAAATTATCATTTGAAGGAGATGCTGATAAAACTGGTATCAATTAATGTGCATATTGGGAGTTGCCAAGGCAGTTGTGGGGAATAGGCAGCCTTCAGCTTTCTGTTACCATTTCAGTGTAACATTAGCTTTCCATTGAGTTGTACAGCACAAATGCTCATTTTGTTTTACTTAGTTGTTTTGGCAAGTGAGATTATACCAAGTTCAGTAATACAGTTTTTATGCATTCTGTACATAAAGTGAATGCACAATGGGAAGGGTATGTCTGTCTGCTTATCTGCATATTTCATTTCTGTAACAATATGATAAACTTCAATGAAATTTGGTTTTATGGTTCTGCACTTAAAGTTGTCTTGACCTTCTGTTCAATATAATCCCTGCTTTATGTGAAGTTAAAATAAAACTTTGTTTTTTAAGGCGAGTTTCCTCCACTTGTAGAGAGGTACTAAATATTTGAATGTAATAGAACAGCACAGTTTGTAAGTGGTATCTGCAGGGTTAAGGTGGAAACTGCTAGAACTCTCAGTATTTAATAACCAGGACATAACACTTATAACAGAGTGAATGGCATTTATTCATAAGTTCCAGAGTCCTCACAACTAAATATATTATTATTTTTTATTGTTATGTATCCAGTCTGTTAGGAATATGTGCATTTTCTATGTCACATTTCCAATTAGGGAGAGTTAATATCTTTATGAACACTTCAGGTTAGCATATAAAAAAATTACACGAGGGAATAATGTACTTGTGTTAATTTGTAGTTGTATATGCATATAAGTAATAGGTTTAATTGGTATTCTAGCAGTGTTTGTTTTAACAGCCAATAGCAAAGAAAATGATTCTTACATGCCTGTATCATGAAGGATGACATAAACACAATTGCACAAACCAGCAACAGCAGGAAATAATGCCATGCAGCCAACATGTCGCCACAAGAGGAAGAAATCAGTTGGGGTCTAAAATATTTTCTGTAGATATAGTGGAATACAATCAATGTTGGGCCCGTCGTCTATTGCAGCCGTTGTTATTCAACACACTGCAGGTTCGGTCAGCGCTGGGGGCAGCACAGCGTCGCAAACTCTCGTTTAAGAATGTGTCTAGTGTCGTGGTCCAGCTGCTCCACTCCATCAAATACTCGATGGAGGTGCCGTTCTCCAACATAGCCACTCCGGGTGACCATAAAGCAAATGCTGCCAGGAAGGTAAGTGAGGTATTATGTGGTGACTGTGGAGGTGATGGTGATAAGTATCCATCTGCTACATGGACTTCAAAACCTTTTCATCTGCACTGCTTTCAAAATCAGTCACTCTCTTCTGGTACGTATGTATGTATGTATGTATGTATGTAGACTTGCCCTTGGTGATGGGGTATCACCAATCCTTACATATCTATCACCTCTGTGGAACGCTGTGCTAGCTATGAAATTTACGTTGGCCATCTAATTTTCTGTTGTACACTCTAGTACATAAACTCCTTACAAGTACTAATGATTTTAGATGATTTTGTATTGCATAGTTATACTATTCAGTTTCTTTCTCGTAGAATAGTTGCTCACTAAGCTTACAGTGTTGTTATTATTTGAAGCACGGATACTTTCCCGTATCTGTCAGTAAAAGCTCAAACACTAACAAAGAAATGTCTTTAGAATTATCTTCAGTTAACATGTCCTTAAGATTATTCCACTAATATTTAGCTGTAATTATATTAATGAAATTTGCTTGTATGTCATTTAATCTAATATCTGTTTAGTTCTCAAGAATTAATAATGAATATGTTGGAACTAATCTGAAATAATAGTCTGTTTCTCTTGCTAGAAAATGGACACAGCATTATGTTGTTTAATGATGGTTGTTTTAGTTCTTGTAATAATAATAATAATAATTTATTGATTTTTGTTTTAATCAAGAAGAAATTTTCTTTTCTACGTCTTCTCTCAAAACATTCTCTTACCTAAAGAATGTGTTCACTATTCATTTTGTTCTTTAGACATTATATTTAATGAAGAAGTAAGTTCTGTCCACTTTATACAAAGTTTCGTGAGGTATTTTCTTTCAAGACAGCAATCTTCTGGGATGTTGATTGGTTCACTATGGTGAGTATTTGTCAATATTCGAACTATGTGTCTATAAAGAATTAGTTATCCATTCTTTGTTATAGATTATTTTAATTGTTTAATCCTGTTGTCATCACAGGTGTTTGGTACTTTGTGCACGCCTTGTACTTCAGAGCACATATCATTCACATGAGAATGTGGTGCAGATATCATACTTCAGCCTTATAGACCCTGTCATGTTGAAAATGAATTAAACAGAAATATATTATTGAAAAATGACAAATGGAGATTAACAGTGGAGGAATTTTTATTCAGTCACCACAAATTGCTACCCATCTGATAGTCATTATTATAACAGAATGTATACTCTGTTGTTGGATTCGGTGTTGGATATAAATTGGTAAGCATGTATTTTGGCCAAAATGTCTTGGTGGTGATAGCGTACCTGAAGCAGAACATAAGTGCTGACTTTATCTTTTATGTTTCACGTTTATAGTTATTCTGCCTTATCTATTTGATGCCCAATGCAGTGTTACATTATTATAAAATTAATTGAATTAATAATTAACAAACATCAGTAATTTTGTGAATATTAAAATTCTAACTTCATTTAACACAAATTATTTTAGTTCTTTTTTTAATATGTGACTGGAGTATTGTTTGTTTAAACAAATTAAATTCCTCCGACACAGAACTGTAAGCAAAGGAAATAGAAGTATTCTGTAAGAATACTTTAAAGCAACAATAATTTTTATTGACAAACCAGCTAGTCCAGCTAGACTACGTGGCGCTACAGCCCGGAAGACAGCCATCTTCAAAGTTGCTGTCATGAGAACCTCAAGTCCTACCTAGATAATGTATCTGAATTGTATTTCATCAGTTACTATCACAATTTTTGTTACCATTTATTTCAAAGGATGAGTGTTTCTGTAATCTAAGCTTTTGGAACCCTGGTCACTCATATAGGTAGGTACTTCTAACTTTGACATAATTTGTGGGGACTGAACAAATTTCTCCTGTTAATTACCAAGACCTCTGTGGAATTTATTGATACTGTGAACCGCTGGCTTGTAAATCCTCCGGATGCAGTAGTGTAGTGATGCTGCCTGTTGTTAGGTGCTAGACCTTCAGCGAGCACTCCACGCTGATCCATCTACTACAGGAGGAAGACCCTTCACTGGAACTGAGGCTCTTCACCTTCATGACATTGCCAGCAAGGTAAGGTTAGGTTCGCAGTGTATGGCATGACTCTGTCAATCTGTCTGTCCATTTCCCATATAGGTTTTATTCTTGTTTGATATTCTTTATTTAGACAGATACTTGTGATATAATTTAAGCCAGCTGTATATTCCCTTGCCACTGTGTTAACACTACACTAAATTTTGCATCTGCATTACACACACATCTGCATTTGATAGTGCATACAATTTTGATATCCAGGTCTTAGACATTGTCAATAAGAAGAATTTGGATTATGGTTTTCTGTATTATGATGGCATGTAGTCTTGTAGGTGTTTACCAGTGTTTCAAAAGAATCACCTCTGCCTTCAAGATCCTGTAGATGGAAATGAAAGGTTCCTCACAATGTTCATAACCACCTGTAAGACTACATAGTATCGTAACTCTTACCCATATTTTTAGTGCCATTGTGAAGATCTCAAATTGTGTTTAGATTAGAAGACTGAAACGGTGGTGTGTTGAAGCTATTAAAATAATTGTTAACGAATTACTTCAGAGCTATGTTTTAGCATGAACTCACTGGAATATGCATTCCAAGACATTTCTGAGATGATAATCTCATACTTTGTATTCATAATGTGACTGCGAGGTACTTGTTGGTTTTAGAAAGTACTTGGAGAAATACAAAGGTACTGTCTTTCCATAACCACAATTATGATTGTGAATTATCCACATAACAGGACATTTTAATTATTAGTAGTTTTAATGTAGAACAGGAAGATAGTACATGTCTGGAATCTAACATTTTTTAAATATAAACTCACAAAACTTTCTAGTTGGAATCATGTTTTGAATGTTTTCTAACTCCAGAACAAATTTTTATGTTTGGAAATGTTAACTCTCAGACTTGCACTTTCCTGTGCTTTGAATTTTGTAACACCACACAAAAGAATTAATCTGTAAAAAGAGATAAATCTCATTATTGGTTTAGCACCATGGAAAATGCAAGTTATATTCTCTCTTACATTTGCATGACATTAGGACCAGGACAGTTATGCACGGCCTTACATTACTAAGTGATCAGTGGTACCACATTTACTTTGCATATACACCTTTCATTACATACAAACATATTTACAATGATTTTTCATTTCATTGATATTTCATGTACTTTAAGAACAAATAATAGTATGTACTGTTACATTTCCCTTGCTTAGTATTAATAAAACAGAAAATGTGTATGCAACATCATCACAGCTACATAACCTATAAAAGTGAGCCAATGAGTACTTTGAGGAACTGCTTGGATGTTGCCTTTGAAACTGAAGATTACTAGTTGAATGTAAACAAAAGAAAACAGTTTTAACCTTCATCATATAGGAATAGGCCATTTAAATTTCTGGGTTAATGGTTTAACATTATATCATTGCAGCACAAGTCAAGTTGAAATGTGCCTAAGCCTCGATGCACAGATAATAGGGGTTAGACAAAATGAAAAAGTATAAGGATCTTGCTCAGTATGGTGACTGGCTGCAGGCTATATGACTGTTCAGTTCTCAGCAAGGGCAGGACATTTTTTCTCTACATGCCTTAGTCATTTGTTTCAGTCAATCCGGAAGTTACAGAACTATTTTCATATAAATTCTGGATCAAAGTGTTTCTTTTAGAATACTTACAGATCCTAGCAGAAACAGTTCAAGTAAATTAATGTCTTTCTGTTTCATTGCGTACAAAAATTATCACAAACGATTATAATAAATGTATTTTTTAAATTGGAAATCAACTTCATATTGTTACTAGTTTAGGTAGTTTTATTTTGCTATTGACAAGGAAAGATAAGAAAATAAGCCAAATGGTCTTCATAATGGTTCCAACCAGCTTATCCATAGTAGAAGCAGATTTCTACAGTTAAACTTTTATTATTTTCCTCTTTATTGTTTATTTTCTTTTGATGATTGGAATGTAGGTTCTAACCTCTCTTAAGCTATAATAAAGTTATATGAAAAATATTCATACAATGGCCTTTACTTTTTATACCTTCTGTAAAACGAATATCATGTTGAGAGTTAGAATTAGATCAAATATCTGCCTGCATGGCAGAATTTGTCTTCTTAATGTCCTGTGTTAACCCCAATCTCCATTCTTAATTACAAGGTAATTTGTTTTCAATTAAAAAAATGTGGACAAAGGACCATACAGTTTGAAAAATAAAGTTGATTGTAACTCTTTAATATGTTGTGTAGTTCACCTCACTAATGACTGCTCTGGTCTTTTTTAATGTTGGTTAGAAATCTCTATAAAATATTATTTTCAGAACAAGGTAACAGAAAAATTTAAGCGGCCATTCAAGAAGCGGCATTCAAGTGTGTACCATCAACCATCCAATCGAGTCAACAAGTATTTGGCTCAAGCTATTGATGCCCGAAGTGTAGACAGGGAGAAGTCCACACATGTCAGTCTAATAACTCTGTGTTTCAAAGATCGTGAGAAGGAAAATCAGGTTGGTGGCTCTTATATTTTTTCTACATACGCTGCTTCCAAAAGTCAACCTGTCCTAGTTGCTGTACTGAAGTTTTTCTGTAGAGCTGTTATCATACAAAGCCAATACCTTGTGAGACTTGGAGGAGGCAACTTGAAAAACTACATGTACAGTTATAAGTGTATGCTTAAATGTCTAAGGAACAGTGGTGTGTTTATGAGTTTTGTACGGTTCTTGGAATAAACAGTGGTTATTTCTCTAAACAGCATTAACCAATTGATTTTTGCAGTGAAGACTGAATTTTTAAGTATTATTTAGAAGAGCTTCTACTACTGCCCTTCCTAACTCTCTTAATGCTTCACAGGGTTAAGTACTGGTTTCTACCTCAGATGTGAAGGGCAGAATGCTTCTGTGTGAGCTGTATAAAGAAAAAGTAGTTTATTATAGAGCATATATTGAAGATGGAAAGTGACATTAGTTTGATACAGAAGTTGTGAGTTTGTTTGAGTATGTCGGTCTTAATCTGAGGCAGCGTGTTTTATACCAGTTTGGCAAAGGAAGCTAAGCATGCAAAAAAACAAATTCTGTATTAAGCTAGGTTTCATTTACAGAAAGTAAATGTAACTAATTTTTGCATGTGGAGCTGAGATAGGAAATGCTTTCAACTGAAGAAAGTAGTTACAATACTCTGAAGTGTTGGTTAAGTAATTATAGCTTCATTCCAAATCTTATATTTCAGGCTACTTTATTGTGTATGTAAGCAAGATTACTAAATTAATTGCATATATGACAACTCAAAGTCTTGGTTTAACATAATCATCTAATTTTAATTCAGTGCCAACATTCAAGCTAATGTTGTACTTTATCAGTCTATTTAAGATATTATGATATGCTTGTGGGTTTGATACCAGCCTCTTAGGAAACTGTATTTTCTTAATATAATGTATTTTTCCATTATCACTCT